TACAATCATCCTCTATAGTGCTTGAGATTCATTATTTTTATTATGAATGCCCTCAACTCTGACTGAAATTTCTGCTTTGTGTGTTTGCCACATTGATGGCATCAGCTGTTCTGTACCCCAAAATGAAACAGTGGGTTGTTCTCGATCATAGCAAGAATATAGGTAACTGGAAAACTGTTAGGGCGTAAGTAATAATTTGGAAGCAAGAACAGCTGCTTAAGAGGATTTCAAGACTGATATGAATTGAAAACTAAAGAGCACGTAAGTCATCTGGCAAGCAGTGGCCCTCCCAGGATTTAGGAGCGAGTCAGTGTTCCGGATCATGACACAGCTGCTATATCACGGAAGCCCGAGAGGACAGAACAGCCTTAAAGAAAATTCATCTTTGCAATGATTAAAGTTTTGATTTGCACTTACCCCTGCAAGATAGTTTTCAGGTGGGGGCTGCTGTGCATTTGGTACTCGGCAAGACACCTGGCGACAGGGGACGCAAACGTGGAGCTTCAACTCACCTTAAGTAAAGCAGGGCTTGCTTTTCTTCTGCCACGCTGGGAGACATATTACTTGTTGTTGTTCCTTTGATAACACTTCTAAGCTTTTCCTATCAGTGTGTGAACATATTTCTTGAGGGACTCTTAGTCCTGCGACAATAAAAAGCTACACTAAACAATACTTTTTTTGGTATCCCACACAGGCAGACAAACAATGAGCTATGGTAGGAAGAGAAGAAGCAGACTTTGGAATCAGGCTGACCTGCATTTCAAATCCAGCCCTTCCACTATCTGGCTCCATGGGGCCTTGACCAAGAGACTTAATCCCTCCAACTGTCTCCTTGTTTGTCAAAGAAAGAGAAAAATGTCCACCTTAGAGGGATGCTGGGATGATTCAATGAACTAACACATCTGTAAAGCACTGACTGTGCACAGGGCAGGTGCTCAATGAATGACAAGCTGAGATAGGACTGCCTGCCACGCCTGGAGGCCTGACTCAGTTGTAGGCCTGACTCACTGTCAGTTGATGTTTGCTGTACCTGCCACCTGGACTCCTGGTGAAACGCCAAAAAATGTTCTGATAGCCAAGAACATTTTATTTTGTGGCTGCCACTGGTAGGATAGTTTGGCTTTGTCTTCGATACATTTCAGCAGAGTGACCTCTGCTCCTCTCCCCTTTTTTAAACAGCATATGTAAACCAGTGATTCTTCATGTATTTTTAGTTAGCAATATCCCCATTTTTTCCCTAGAAAACTACATTTATGCACAAATGCATGAAAATTTGCATCAATTTTAGTGGGTTCAATGACCATCTGAAAACCATTCATATGCCTCCCTTTTACAGTATCTATGGGTTTTTGTTTAAGAAGTTTCCGCCAACAAAGAATCAAGGATGTTTTATGAATATGTGAGCTCATGAGGATTAGCACCTAGGCAGTGGTATCTATGTTACAATGGAAACTTCACTTTGAGATTCTGGGGCCAGGCCTCACGCAGAGAGGAATCAAGGAACACAAGTCCAGGATATTGATGAAAAGCGTCTGTCAAGAGGAATAATTTTTTTTTTTTTAAAAGACAGGGTCTTGCTCTGTCACCCAGGCTGCAGTGCAGTGGTGCAATCTTGTCTCACTGCAACCTCCACCTCCTGGGTTCAAGTGATTGTCCTGCCTCAGCCTCCCAAGTAGCTGGGATTACAGGCATGAGACTCCAGCCTGGTCTCTAACTCCTGACCTCAAGTGATTGGCCTGCCTCGGCTTCCCAAAGTGCTGAGATTACAGGTGTGAGCCACTGTGCCCAGCCAAGAGGAATAACTTTTACATGGACCTGGTCAAGGATTTATACATTGCAAAGAAGAAAAATGAGAGTTGAATTAACTTGAGTTAATTCTCAAAAAAAGTCAACTCTAGAAGCTCCTAGTCCCAGCAAAGTTCCCAAGAGAATATATGTTCTCACATGCTCTAGGGAATGTAGAAGCCACAAAGGTTTCTAGTAAAAGAGATCCCTGATTAAGGTAGCAACTATTTACACAGCATTTGAGATCCACAAAGTTTAATAGCTACTTTCATTAAGGAGACAAAAACAATGCCATATATTATTTTAAGGGGCCATGGGTCTACTTTGAGTGTGCATATATTATTCACAGTTACCAATCAACTGGCAAAACGTGTGGCTATACTTGTGGCTTTAAGAAAATAACGATGGATCACCCTGAAATTGGACAGCAAACCTGAAAGAAACAGATATACACTGTCTTTTTTGCCTCTCACACAGCACAATAGCCAAAATGGATGGGTCCTATTTTTAGAGTCTTTGGAGAGACCTTATTTGAATCCTACCTCTGCCATTTATTAAATGACATTGAGTATGCCATTTAACTCATTTAATTATTTGTAAAATATGGATAATAATGTCTACTTCATAGGATTAATATAAGAATTAAAATGAGATAACATAAGAGAAGAGCTTGGTATTCAATATATGAAACTTAACCACTGTAATTGTTTTATAGTACGGAAGAGAGAGGTTAAAACTCCTGGCCTGGAGTCAGGCCTTGATTCAAATGCTGCCTTGCTCAACTTAGTAGTCGAGCATAAGTTACTTGACAGCTTACAGCTGTGTCTTAGTTTCCTCAACTGTAAAACAGGATTACAAACAATATCTGCCTCATAAGATTTTTGCGATGTTTAAATAAGTTAACCCCTGTGAAAGTATTTTAAAATTCAATGCCTGGTAAAATGCTCAATATATTTTAGCTATTGTTATCAATCTTTGTTTCATTTGGTGGAACAAAGTGCAGGGAGAATAAAGTAATGAGGAATATATTTGTTTGAAACAGATTTTGAAACAGATGCATGTGACCTTTATATTTGATGCTACATTAAACAACAAAGAAACTGGAGAAAATGGTAACAGGGTGAAGCCTGTGCACACTGTCGTACTAAGAGGGGTACCTAGATTTCAGATTTGGCATGCATTTTACAAGACTGGTCTACATTGCTGTTTTGAGTATGGACAGAGCAGCACCCAGACTGGATCCTTGACTCAGCACTGTCATCAAAGGCAAGGCTCATTTATTAAATGTAGACTTGGGAAGGAGTGTTTTTGGAAGCAGAGGGATTGGGAAGAAAGATCCTAGAGACTTCTCTGAGATATAAAACATGGTTACTGAAATGCCAAGTGACTTCCTCTTACTCTCTTTGAAGTTAGTCAGAAACTGAAGACCATGGATCCCCTTCTGCGGGTCGAGTTTATTTTCTCTGCCCATATCCCTACTGGTGATTTTATCTAAAGCTTTAACAGTAAAACAACCATGCATGTTTTCAGTAGCAAAGAGGGAGGAAAGGCTGGGGGGTGGGGAATGGCTGCAAGACACTCCCTCCTCCTCCAGGGGATTGTGCACAGCATCTCAGAGGTCTGCAGCATCTCAGAGGTCCAAAGAGGGAGGAAGCAAGTGCATTTGTATCTGAGGCCTGAGACAAGGAAGAAAAAGTAAAATGCTGAGATGCTGTGGGCCAGAAACAGGGCTAAGAGCTTGACAGCCTGGAAAATCCTGCATTCGACCCCCAACTGTATTCTAAAAACTTCCCAAGGACAGTGCTAGAAGTTTTAAGTGGAATGGGTCTTGGAGCACTGGATCCTCAGACCTAAACAAATATTCAAGAGTTGGTTCCTATGAAGAGAACATCTGGTGACTCAGTGGCAGGTGCCTCAGATTTTATTTTATTGAGAAATATGATCAAAAGAGCTGAGTTTGGACCCCTTTTTCCACACCAAACCTTTTTGAACAAACTTGGCATTGTAAATAATTAGAGGCAGTATTACATTCTCACCAGTACCCTCAGCTTGCAAATTGCACTGAATATGCTCTTTTCAAATTTACTAGCACTGATCAATGTATATCTCTCTAATTTCCACAATTAAAGTATGTACACACACTGTTACTCGTATCTGTGTTAATATCAGGCATTGGGTTGTCACCTGCAGTTGCCTATGCCTTACTGTTAGCTGTTCTTTTTGCTAATCTGGAATGTTTGGAAGCAATTTTTCACGACTCTGAACTACAGTAAGTCTACAATGCCCATTTGAAAGGCATTCCAAGCAAGAAAATGGCTGGCTACTTGTTCCTGCCCCTTACCTAGGATTAGTAGAGGCCAGAATAGCGAATATATTCCATCTTCTGCATGTTGTTGAGTCTCTGATCTCCTATGTAATTTCCTGTCCTGATCCTGGGCTTCTGTTTAATCTTATTAGCCAAGGTACAAGTCATGAGACTCCCGCACACTCAGTTCCCATCAGCGCTGCCAGGATCACTGCCCTTATGATGACGACGCACGGATTTGTAAGGCCAGAGCGATTCCGAGTGGGAGCAGAGGAAGGAGAGCCAGGCGGCCGGGAAGGTGTTTACCAAAACAACATCCCTCCCCACACTTTTTCCGCAGCAGAGAGAAACTAGCGTCTTCTCGCTTTGAAGTGTTTAATCAATGCCCTGCTGGAAGTGAATTCGCTCCCTCCGACTTGGAGGGTAGTGACAGCATCTAAGAGCTTTGCAGACAGCTCCAAATGTAATCAAACAGCATCCTTTCCCCTCCCTCTGCAGCTTCCCCCCTCCTCCAGGGGCAGTCAGCCGGTGGCCCAGAGGGGTGCATATTTCAACGCAGCTCGCCCTCTGATCCCCCGGGAAGACTGAGGCGGCGCGCACTGGGACGCCCCTCCCAGCCCACAAGGTGGGCGACCAGGTGGTGACACCACGACCCTTCCTTCTCTGCCCTAGTCTCTCGGCTCTGCCGAGAGCGGAGTGCCACTGGGGGGCTTTGGCCGCCTTCGGGCTCAGCGGAGCACGCAGGAGCCTGGGCAGGGAGCAAGGGCAAGGGTCCGGCTGCGGCTGCAGGGGCCTCGGCTCCAGCCTGGTTCCCAGCGCAGACGACACCGGGGTGGGGAGGGTTGGGGAGGGCTGGGGAGAGGTGCGGAGGCGGCGGTCCGGGGAACGGCGACATCCCGCTCCAGTTTACCTGGACGCGCTCGGCAGCGGCGGAACTGGGCTCCCCGAGCCGGCGGCGGCTCCTGGGCGGCGGCAGCGTTGGCGCAGGCGACTCCCGAAGGTGGCAGGGCCGGCGCGGGCAGGATGTGCTGTCTCACGCTGCGCCGGCCGCTCCGCTCGCGCTCCTCTGGGAGCTATCACTTCCTCTCTCCCAGAGCCTGACACTGACAGCTCCCCGGAGCACCCAGTCTGCGGGGCTCGCCCCGCCCCCTGCCCACGCCCTCCACGCCCGCGCCCCTCCTGCGGGAGGGCCTCCGCTCCGCGTCTACCGCGCCCGGTCTCGCCAGGAGCGGGTGGCGCCGGTCCGGAGGCTGGTGGCGAGCAGGGGACCTGGAAAGGTCAATTCGTCTATCCCTCTGCCGTCGGCAGGACTTAGACCTAAGTTGCTGCAAAGAGGAGAGCTTCAATATTCTGGGAGCTCCTGCTGAAATGCCACCATTGAACAACTTTCACTCCCAGGCAACTACACTTCTAAAGGTCATTTAAATAGAAATAAAGAAAGCTCAGATCTACCTGTTGTACACAATGATTTATAGGTCTGATTGATCCCAATTTTCCTAGAATAAAAAAGAATTAAGTGTGTGTGTGTTGTGTGTGTGTGTGTGTGTAGCTTGCCTTCACATTGCTTCTTAAAGTCCCAGTTTTTAAAAATCTCGGTAACTAACCAGACGCGGTGGCTCACACTTGTAATCCAAGCACTTTGGGAGGCCTAGGCGGGCGAATCACCTGAGGTCGGGAGTTGGAGACCAGCCTGACCAACATGAAAAAACCCTGTCTCTACTAAAAATACAAAATTAGCCGGGCGTGGTGGCATATGCCTGTAATCTCAGCTACTCGGGAGCCTGAGACAGGAGAATGGTTTGAACTCGGGGGTCGGAGGTTGCGGTGAGCCGAGATCCCACCACTGCACTCAAGCCTGGGCAACAAGAGCAAAACTCCGTCTCAGGAAAAAAAAAAAAAAAAAAAAATCTGGACAACTATTATTGAACTCTGCAAAAAACAAGCTTGCCACAACAGCTAAGTCATAAGGCCAAAAAATTGAGTTTGGGATGTTAGGGGGTTTGGCACCATTTTATAGATAAGCTTTTCATCATATTTCTTGCACATCTGTGGAGTATTTGTACACGTTAGAATGTAAATTAGTGGAGGGCAGGGACTTTATCTTGTTCACCGCTGTATTCTCAGTATCTAGAACAGCATTCACTATATAATGGGTTATGAACTTATTAATTCACAAGTACTACAGTAATTTCAAAATAAATACAGATTCTAGTATGAATACATACTCATCTGTAAATGGCCGTCCTTATCTTACTTTGGCCTTCCTGGCTAATCTACTGTGATCATCACTATGGCTAGAAAAGAAAGAGGTGAAATGTCTAGGTAGAAGGTATTCAAGGTATTCCAGAAGGAAAATTCTATGAAATAAATACTTGCCACTACCATGACTGAATATTTAATACATGTTAATTCTACATACATTTTCCTTTAACTTTTCTATAACATTGTATAGTACATAAAATGAATGCCATGCCCCCAGAAAAGGAATTTGAGTCAAAGAAGTTAACTCCTTTGCCCAAGTTCCATAGCCACTGAGTGATCTAGCTGAGATTTGAATTCCCATTCATCTGCAGCTTGTACTTTAACTACTTTGTATTCTGGTCTTTCCAACATGGCATTGTTTTTGTTGTTGTTTTGTTTGTGTTTTATTGTTTTTTCTTTTCTTTTCTTTTTTTTCTTTTTTTTTTTTTTGAGACAGAGTCTCCCTCTGTTGCCCAGGCTGGAGTGCAGTGGCACAATCTCAGCTCAGTGCAACCTCCACCTCCTGGGTTCAAGGGATTCTCCTTCCTCAGTCTCCTGAGTAGCTAAGATTACAGGTGTGCACCACCTAGCCCAGCTAATTTTTGTATTTTAAGTAGAGATGGCATTTCTCCATGTTGGCCAGACTGGTCTGGAACTCCTGACCTCAAGTGATCTGCCTGCCTCAGCCTCCCAAAGTGTTGGGATTACAGGTGTGAGCCACCATGCCTGGCCTCAACATGGCATTGTTGAGTGCCCGTGAAGTAGGAGGTGGGACTTAGACATTGGACCAAATTGAGGACTAGCTAAAACAGAGATGGGGCGGAGGCAGCTTTCTGCAAGAGATGCTCACCAGTGTGTCATGTCAATTTACCATTGCCATGGCAACACCCAGGAGTTACCACTCCCTTCCATAGCAATGACCCCATGACCCAGAAGTTACTACCCTTTCCCTAAAAATTCTGCATAAACCTTGATCTACAAGTAATTAAAGTAGGTATAAATATGACTGCAAAACTGCCCTGAGCTGTTACTCTCTGCCTATGGGGTAGCCTTGCTCTGCAGGAGCAGTCACAGAGCTGTAACACCGCCAGAGCTGTAACACTGCCACTTCAATAAAGCTGTATTTTTCAACCCTACCACTGGCTCACTCTTGAATTCTTTCCTGGGCAAAGCCAAGAACCCTTGTGGGCTAAGCTCCAATTTGGGGGCTCACCTGCACTGCGTCACACAACCTGCAAAGCATTGTGCTTGGAGCTTCACATGATTTAAAAAAAAGAAGAATACAATCCCTCTTCTTGAAGGCGTTAAAATCCAGTTGGAGGTGCAAGGATAGGTAAAGGCAATCTAATTAAAGACAAACAATAAGGAAATAGCCAAAGCAGTACAATGGTTTGGGTGGATGAGATGGAAGGAGGAAATTAGAATTATGACAATAGATAATATTGAAATAGGTAGGGTTTTAGGGTAGAAATGAAGAGCAGAGAATATTTTCGGGCATAAACAAAGCTCCAAAGAAGAGAAAGAACAAAGTGTACTCAGCAAATAGTGAGTGGGCCAGCTTTTTGGAGCATGACAGACTCATGGGAGAGCCAACTGGGGCCCTGAGAAAGGCTGTAGAGCAGATAATGGAGAATCATTAAAGGCCTTTGAGTAGAGAATGACACTTGGGAAGAGTCATCTGGGGCTATCTTTGGGTAGAGGATTGGAACAAGGAAAGGCTTAAGAGACAAGTTTAAAGTTCATTCAAAGAATCCAGGTCAGGATTTAAAAGGCCTGAGTTTGCCAAGTTGTATTCATCACAAATAGTCTGTAATATATGCCCAGAGCAAATTAAGCCCTCAATTTCAAAGTTAGTTATAATATTATCACTTCTCAGTATTTAACCAAAATAATTCAAAGTAGGATTTCAAAGAGATATTTGCACATTCACGTTCAATGCAACATTATTCACAATAGCCAAGAGATGGAAGCAACTCAAATGTTCATGAATAGGTGAATAAGTAAAGAAAATTTGGAATATATATATGCATACAGTAACAGTTTATATTTAAAAAGGAAGAAAATCCTGTTACATGCTACAATGTGGATGAACTTGAAGGACACTATGGTAAGTGAAATAAGTCAGTCACAAAAAGTAAAATAGTGTATGATTCCACTCAAATGAAGTATCTAAAGTAGTCAAAATCGTAGAAAAAGAAAGCTCAGGCATACTACGGAGATATTGCGAGCTCAGTTTCACACCACCAAATATCACAATAAAATGAGTCATACAAATCTTTTTTGGTTCCTAGTGCATATAATAGTTATGTTTACACTATACTGTGACCTATTAAGTGTGCAATAGCATTATGTCTAAAACATGTACATGTCTTAATTTAAAAATACTTTATTGCTAACAAATGCTAATAATCATTTGAGCTTCAGTGAGTTGTAATCTTTTTGCTGGTGAAGGGTCTTGCCTCGATGTTGACAGCTGTCGACTGATCAGGGTGGTTGTTGCTGAAGGTGGGGTAGCTCTGGTAATGTCTCAAAATAAGACAACAATGATATTTGCCTCATCCATTGACTCTTCTTTTCATGAAAGATTTCTCTGTAGCATGTCATGCTCTTTGATAGCATTTAAACAAATTTATGGGCACATAGTAGGTATTTAGTATTTATGAGGTACAGGAGACGTTTTGATACAGGCATGCAGTGTGTGTTTGGTAGCCTTTATCCACAGAACCTGCAAAACTGAAGTGAACTATGTCAAACCCTGCCACTACTTTATCAACTAAGTTTATGTAATATTCCAAATCCTCTGTCATCATTTCAACAATGTTCATAGCATTTTCACTAGCAGTAGGTCCCATCTCAATATATCACTTTCTTTGCCCTTCCATAAGAAGCAACTCCTCATTCATTGAAGCTTTATTATGAGATTTCAACAATTCAGTCACATCTTCAGACTCTACTTCTAATTCTAGTTCTCTCACTATTTTTATTACATCTTCAGTGATTTCCTTCATGTAAATTTTGAGCCCCTCAAAGTCATCCATGAGGGTTTGTATTGGTCCATTTGCATTGATATAAAGGAACCCCGGAGGTTGGATAATTTAGTTTATTGTGGCTCATGGTTCTGCAGGCTGTACAAGAAGCATAGTACTGGCATTTACTTCTGGTGAGGAACTCAGCAACCTTACAGCTCTGGCAGAAAGCAAAGGGGGAGCCAATGCTCCCCTTAATCACATGAATAGAGTGGGAGCAAGAGAGAGAAGAAAAGTGCCACACTCTTTTAAACAACCAGATCTTCCGTGAATTCAGAGTGAGAACTCACCATTACCATGAGGAGGTCACTAAGCCATTCATAAAAGATCTGCCCTCATGAGCCAAACACCTCCCACCAGGCCCTACCGCCAACATTGCAGATTACAATTTAACATGAGATTTAGAGGGGACAAATAAACAAAACATAACAGGGTTGGAATTAACTTCTTCCAAACTCCTGTTAATGTTGATATTTTCACATCCTTCCATGAGTCACGAATGTTCTTAATGGCATCTAGAATGGTGAATCCTTTCCAGAAAGTTTTCATCTTACTTTGCCCAGATACATCAGAAGAATTCCTGTCTATGGCAGCTGTAGCCTTACAAAATATATTTCTTATATAATGTAACTTCAAAGTCAGAATGACTCCTTGATGCATGGGCTGCAGAACAAATATAGTGTTAGCAGGCATAAAAACAATATTAATCTCCTCATACATCTCATTGGAGCTCTTGGGTGACTAGGTGCATTGTCAATAAGCAGTAATATTTTGAAAAGAATCATTTTTTCTGAGCAGTAGGTCTCAATAGTGGGATCAAAATGTTCAGTGAACCATTGAACCATGTACCGTCATCTAGGCTTAGTTATTCCATTTATGCAGCATAGGCAGAGTGAATTTAGCATAACTCTAGGGACCTTAGTATTTTCAAATGGTAAATGAGCATTGGCTTCCATTTAAAG